AATGTGAAATATATTTTTCATATATCGCGAAAATTCCAATATTACTTATTATTGGAATTTCACCCGTTTTACGTGAATCACCGTGACATTCACGGTGATATGCAGTAGTCGTGAAATATATTTTTCACTAGTGTTTCACGACCGCCCGTGTAACTCTACCACACGAACGGAAAAAATAACTCACCATTAAACACGATTCCATAATTGCATCATGGAGGCACCTACTGCGAGAGACCCCACTCTTCTTGCTAATAGGAAATTGCTGAAAAAGGAAACATAAACCTTCTCCTGATGACACACTTATAAATTCAGTCACTGAACATTTCTAAAAAAAATTAATTTTTATATAACGATTATCCACAAAATCGAATTTAAGTGTGGGAAAATAATATGCACATTGCCAACTTCATATGTCGGTGACAGCAATAGGATTTTTCTCATGAATTACAAAATTTTATATACGAATTTGAGAATATGAAAACTATGATGATTTTTTTGGGGAGAAAAATTGTTGAACACTGGAGTTTCACCACCCAAGTGATATGAAAAACATATTTCACGACTACTACAGGCCGCGAATATCACCGCGTTTTTCACCCAGTTTTACGCCACTTCACGTAAAACGGGTGAAACTCCACTTTTAATCAAATTAGTACATAAATTTCTGTAATCCCTGAGAAAATCCTGAGCTCAGCTGAGAAAATGAAATATATATATTCCAACAACAAATACCTCCCAATGCGAGAAAATATGCACATGGTCAACTACACATGTCGTGAAAATAGGAAAATTCTGATTATTTTTCGTCAAAAAATGTAAACATTTCTTTACTACTTGGTTGTGAAAGTCTTGAGCTCAGCTGAGAAAAGGAAACGTTTACACTTACTTGTATAATAAAACAATCCTGGCCTCGCACTTCATCGACAATATCAACTATGACTTCACCATCAGCAAACCTGAGCAGGAAAATGATGATCAATTCAATGGTGTTGCACCCGCGAGAAGTGAGAAACACTAATACTTGTGTTTTTCGCGTGAGCGAAAAACACATTTCTTTATTCACAAGACGTTTTAGTTATTGCGTTTGTGATATGAAAAACACTAGTGGAAAAATATATATGTTACATTTAGTTTTGCTAAAAAACGCATGAAAGCAGCGAATAACGCGTAAAACACATAATGTGTTCTACGTGCTATGGGCTAATTTCTCTACTGTAGTTCGCCAAGTGTTTTCATATCACCGCGAATATCGCGTTTTTCACATGGAGTATCACACCACTTCTCGTAAAACGGACTGCGAAACTCCAGTATTGCTTGCGCCCATCAAACAAGGATTCGTAATCGATCAACATGGCGAGCGCTAAATACATGCATGCTACACAACCGCGTCACTCACTTTCCCGTATACACCCTCCCTTCTGTGGTGGCCAAATTCGCACATATTTCCGAAGCCAATTGCTCCGAATCAGAGCAAGCGAATACTTTCATATCTGATTAAAAAACCGGTAAAACACAATTTCCAGATACGGCATATGCAACGCATAGATATGAAAAACACTTGTGAAATGTATTTTATATTTCACTTTCTTTACATGCCACTTCACGTAAAACGGAAAAAAACTCCATTATATATACCTCAACAAAGTTTCACCCGTGATATGAAAAACACTAATGAGAAACATATTTCATATACCACTTCGCTTGAAACGCACATCAGCAGTGAATAACACGTGAAATTCTGCCAGTTTCTCACGTTCAACGGAATGATATTTCTGATGCAATTCGCCAAGTGTTTTCAACTCACTTCACACCGGAAATATCGCGTTTTTCACAGAGTATTACGCCACTTCACGTAAAACGAGTTCAACTCCATTATATACCCTATGGATACTATACGATGAACAAATACCCACATTCATGCTTTCCAGGATCAACATAATACTCCTCCGTTTCTTCCGACTCCGCTTCCTCATCATCAACCGCCTTTTGCAACGATTCTTCTTGCGGTCTCGGAGGGCCTACACACGCAGGTTCGATTCCTGGTAGAGGCATTTTAAAAACACTTACCACTCTCGTTATCAGCAGTAGCACTAGCATATTCATCTGCTGCTGGAGAAGGAGAGGACGTAACTAACGACAAAAATCACCTAAAACTTGCAAATCTTGCTCTCTTGCATTTCCTCAACGCTCTCAATATACCCAACTACAATGTATCGATAACAATACGAAGAAAAGTCGATATTCCCCCCATCGCATGATCAACTTTGGAAACTCCTGAGCTCAGGTGAGGAAATCAAACGTATATTCCTACTCCAACACTCGCACTCACCAAGTCCACGAATGTAACTCGACCACTTCTCTTTTTTTTTCTCTTCAAGGCCAGCTGTTGCCATCGGTGTTGCTAACAATCCCATCGCTACAGCTACCCCGAAAATACCTATCAGTTAACAAGATGTACGTATGAACCTCATTTAATGAAGCATCCGACAGAATTTCTGATTTTTCCTCTTAAAATCACGAAATTTTAAAAGTGTATAATATTCACTATTAGATATCATCTAATGAGCATATAAACAGACAGTAATAATGTAGGGTATAAACCAGATAGTGAAAATGGAGTTTCACGGGCGGCCCTAGTGATATGAAAAACACTAGTGAAAAATATATTTCACGAGAATATCGGCTGTTCACAGAGTTCTCACGTCACTTCACGTAAAACGGGCTGTGAAACTCCATCATAGTATTATATATATTCATATATACAAGACTATGTTTTTATGGTATTATAGTATTCTCATCGCTTTCATCGCATCCATGCGAGACGCCACTCAAGCTTGTTGCATTATAAGCCCTGATGATGGGCGCGCACTCTCAAGCTCCACGACCAGAGTCTTGAAAGTTTTCCGCATATTTTCCTATTGCGTTCGACTGAGACAGCCGCATCAGCTAGTAACTATTTACGTTCATCAGAGAATCGAATACCCTGGTTATAGATTCCAGAATTGATGATACCGGTGGGTACTATGCTAGAATGAGAACATAGCGAATACCCCCATCGTGCAGACATGCGGGTGTTCCCGCAGTGTTGTAATATATGTAATCGCTTTCCTCAGTTGACCCTAGGAGTCTCCTCACTAACTACAGGAGTTCATATACAAACTAGGGTAGAAATGCACAGGAACCCGCAAGAATTTCGGAAATTTTCCTCAGAATTTCCATATTGTCACCAACATATGTGGTCAACCATGAGCATATTTTCCCACACTGTGTTCCCGATGCCCCTGGAACGGCAGTGTCGTAATATATGTAATCAGCTAACCCTAGGAGTTTCCTCACTCGTAATAGGAGTCCATATATACAAGCTTGGGTAGAAATGTACAGAAACCAACAAGAATTTTGCAAAATTTCCTCCAAATGTAAAAACCATATGCATATCTTCCCACACTGGTTAGCGGCAATGGTATGATGGTTCAGCGGACGGCAAGCAGCTCTGATAGATGACTGCCAGTTTGAAATTTCGAGTTTCAACGATCGTCGAAAAGTTCACTATGTGGAACTCTGATAAACAAGTTCTTCCAGCAATAAGCTACTTCACGTAAAATCGTAAAGCGGTAGCAGTCAACTACAAAGTATCAGTAATCTTCAACCTCATCGTTACAGATGTTAAGTGGCCATGACTAGCCTCAAGTGCTGCATGTGTAGCCGCACTCATTCTCCTCCTTGATTCCCCCACTTCCAAAGTGACTACTAGTTCATGATGGCTGCTGCAATCCGTAAATTGTGGATCATAACCTCTTTGAATAATGTAGATATTTATTATCCCTTACATATTCCATGATCAGGTGATGTCATCACCGCGTTGATTCAACAACAGCCATATCACTGCGATGATCGATTGTGTGAAACTCACGCAGTGTGAGCGCCTCAAACTCATAGTTTTTTCGAGCGCTCCATGATTTCCAGCGCGTTAACATTGATATAAATTAAGCTAACTTTTTCGCGCTAATCAAATGAGTACCCATTCTCACCTGTACCAGCCTCAGCAAGCTTCTCCCTTCCTGCCAACCGTCTCCACAACGCCACATTACTCGAAGTCCGCAAACCTCCCCTCACCGAAGCCATCGCTCGCGTCATCCACGGCAGCATTTTCGTCCAGTTACTTTCGCGAGAGCAACTCTACGCGAAAAAAAATTCTCAATCCTGAAGTCTCAAACCGATCGATGCCGACTAAACGCAATTGATGTTATTTGGTGAAAACATAATTGTACTACTCCAACATGGCAGATTATACGACTCACAAGTGAAACGGTCATCAACCGTAACCAGTCCAACAACTAAAATTCATCCGATTTCTAATAAACCGGTAGACTTTATAATAAGTTATAATAATTTAATAATAATAGTTATAATAAGTTTAAAGTTTATAATAAGTTTTCTAATAAACACAACTGGTAGACACAACAATAGTACGCGACATTCCCTCAACTGCAGTGTAACACTTGTACGGACTTGTCGCAGATTTCCCAGGTGGAGCACGACTTCGCAGACTTCATCACAAGCCTCCAGAGTGATGTTATACTCAAATATTGGACAATAATAGTAATATTTGTCTGATATAGCGACATCTACACCATGTTACACAATTGTTCCTCAGCTCAGTGTGACAGACTACAATCAATACCCCGATATAATGACGATTCTTGCGGTTCGCTTTCTGATTCTGATCGCTGAGAACATCAACCACCGACTGTCCCTTCTCTTGCTCCAGTTGAAGACTTTCGAGTCTCGAAAGTCAGGGTTGGCTATTAGATATTAGATATTAATATACGTAATAGATATTATCAAGGCTGAGTTGATAGAATTTTGATCATACTCTTTCCCAAAGTGCTCATCATATATCTGAACAGCTACTTTCCAGTTGGAGAACCCAGCCAGATCACCAAATAATGGCGATGACTGCCTTTGGAGTACCAAAATGCCCACAGTGATGAAAGAAAACGATATTCTTCCGGGGGCAATACACTCATTGAGTCCATTGAGCATGCACGCTCGGCGGGACACGAGTTGTGTGCGCCTGAAATGCACGGCG